TATACCGTCCAGGGTACAAGGTCTCCATCTTCGTATTTAGGTATTTAGGGTCTAGGGTGGTTGTGGGGATAGATCTTAGGGCTCTGGGCATGTCGGGGTATACACTTCAAGGTTGAGGGCGGTTCAGGGTCTGGGGTCTGAGCTGCGCACAGCTGGAAGGTATCAGCTTGACTGACCTGGTTGAGGGTTTAGGGCTATCACGCGGCGGACACATCCACAGGGACTGAACATGAAGTTTGAGCCGTTCATTCAGACGAAACCTGGTGTAGACCTGAAAAACTACGAGACGTCCCGGTCAAATGCTCATAAGACCTATACTCTTCAAATACCTGAATGGAAGCCGGGGTAATCCCCAGAGTCCTTGAGGAAGCTCTGTATTACATAGCGCTTTGTGAACCTTGCTGCGCAAGAACTAATCAAGGTACATAAATCATCAGAATTGGGCTGCTGGTGCATCTTGTACTAGATGTAGCCATATGACGGATAGGGCGACGGATTCTTGTGTGGCTTCTACAATCTATATGACTTGTGCTGTCCACCCTTGACAACGAAAAACAAAAAAGACTCATCAGAGTTTAGGATCTAGGGGTTACTCAGGCTGGGTGGGATTCAAAGTTGTGAACAGGCTCCTTTATACAAGAATAGGAGAAGGTTTTCACCATCCCAGAGTGCCACTCAATAATGGTTCTGGAAGTCAACGAAGCCCTACAAAACCTGCCTGCAGAGTCTCGAAGCCCGCAGGCAATAGCAAAAGGACCCGGCGTGCTCCTGGTTCTGAGCCAGGACGGCTGAGTCTAGGGTTTACCACTATGGGCTATTAGACCTTAAGGGTACCTTAATCTACCCTTAATAGGGTCCTAATAGGGAATTTTATGGTCTAATAGCTCATACTGGTAGGGCTTAGGGTTTAGTTTAGGGGTTTTTGGGTTTCAGGCGCATGAAAAGCAATCCCTCCCACCAGCATTGAATATTCCTGGGAATAGCACAGATACATTGGGGAAGATTTGGAAATAGCAGGGAGTGGGTTTGTGCTTAATATCTAAAATTTTGGGGAGGTGTTTGCAAATTTAGGGCTTAAGGCTACCTAATAAGTAGGACGATCCAAGAGTACACGTGTGCGCTCACAAGTGAGGCGGTCGGACTTCAGGCTTCTGTGGCCGTCATGGGGTCCATAGGGGCCTCAAGGGATTACGCATATTTCGCAAGTTTCTTCGATGTTGGTTTTAATGTGGTTTCTACAAAACCCTAAATTCTAAACCCCAAACCCCTGAACCCTGAGCCCTTACGCCCCCAAACCCTGAACCGGGGCGTAGGGCTTTAGTCCCGCTGGCAGGCCAGGTCAAGTGCCCTTGTGCTGCGAGGGAGGCTACGCTCTCTACATGCATGCGGAGCCTGGCAACAGGATCCTGACTAAACAGCGACTGCCATGCTGAGCTGTGAGTGCTGTCATACTCCGAAAATCTCAATTCTCTTGGGAAAGTCGATTGCCAGGCCGCTTGTGCACCGTGCTGCCAAACTTCAAACAAATCTCGCTGCCTAGGGGAAGAAGCCCTAAGGGTCCAAGGACCCAAATAATAGGGTTTTAGGGTCCAAATACCATTAATATTGTGACAATCCTGGGCAGGCCTCCAACACTATGGCAGATAGCTTAGGTGGACCCTCGACCCAGTAATAGTGACTATGAAGGATAATAAGGATTATATTAGGGTCCTATTATATTCCTATTTTACCACTATTACAGGGTGGGGGGTCCTCCTAACATATAGCTAACTCCCAGGATTGCCCCATCATTCCGTAGAAACATTCAAAAACCGTCTAAAGCCCTGACCAGCAATCCCCATCCATTCACACTAAACCCAAACCCATGGACCTCAAATGCTAATTTCCCTAAACAGGGGGACCACAATACAAATCCCAAAATACAATAGTCCTTATTCTGGGGACCCCCAGAAGGGTACCCCTAATCTTGGGAAACCCTGTAACGCCTGGCCCTGACTATGCCCTTGAATGCCCCCTCCAAAATTAGATAAACCACAAACTACTAGGGTCTAGGCCCAGGGCTTACGCATGGCTAGGGCTAAGGGATCAGGGTTTGGGGTTGGGGTTTAGGGTATTCATTTCCATTTTCATTTGCAATTTTCCAGCTAGTTCTCCATTCTACACCCATATGCACTATATGGGTGGTTGTCAAGATTATGCTCCCTCTTTGGATCCCTATTATAATACGGCACCTAATGTTTAGGGTACCCAAAAAGGGACCATAATTTTGACAACCATCCATATGTACCTACGCGTTACGTCCAAGCCCGGCGCCTTAGGAGGTCGCGCAGGTCCTCTGAGCGATTTCGCTCAATCCCTGCAGGTGGCATTCTTAGAATTCTCAGTTCCTAGCCCCACCAAGGACCCTAAACCCTAAACCTTGGGTACTGCCCCCACCCAGTAACAGTTTATATTAGGGATCCTATTAAGGGCTATATATAACCATACCATAATTATTATCGGGGCAGTACCCAACCCTAAAGCCTAATCCCTAAGTAAGGAGGCCCAACACGGGCCCATGCTGGGAGACCTCAATGGACCCTAGGAAGGCTTGCGCAAGCCCATACCCGCCAAAAACGCATGAGTTTCTTTCCCGCAAATTCACTCAACTCAGAAGGTAGCAAAAGGATGTATGGAATCTCTTGGGCCTCTTTGATGCATGCATGCACCAACACAGCAAAAGCAAAGTAAAGATACCCAACAACGGCGAAGAGATGTTGACCCAGCATTGGGGAGCATCGAAGCGAAGAGCTGATAGCGCTAGTCCAGGTTGATGCTGTAAAGTTTTGAGGATACATTCAACGGTTTACGGTTTGGGGTGCAGGGTGCACCGTGTAGGTTTGGGGGTGCAGGGTTTGGTTATCTAGCCTACAGGCAACGAGCGTTGCAGCCGCACATTCCTACCCCATGGCATTGTCGGGCCTTCTGGGGCAGTCTCTGTATTCCATGCACCCCCGAAGGATAAGGGAAGTTCCAAGAACCGTCCCGTTCAATGCTCCTTCCGATGTTGTTCTGAAGGCTATGGGGATCGATTTAGAGAGGGGTTTTTGGTTCTGCTTTGACCCCAAAGCCGCAACACATACACATTCAAGACGGTCTTACGTATGGGGGAGTCTTCAAACGCATGCCTTTGACTCAATAAGCCGGCACCGAAACACGTGATACAGCGTCTCTGCACTCAAATGCGTGCAACATCTATACTTGACATGAAGCCCTCAGAATCTGAATTTCAGCTGTGTACTGCGTGGATTGCAATAAGCAAAGTCTGAAGTCAAGACACAAATATCCCAAAACAACCCTTTGATAGATTCATGATGGTTTGCAACGGCTTGGGGGCTTGGGCACAAGAAAGCAGCCACATTAACACTTCATGGTGGCATGCCTGTAAAAGTAAGCCGTGAGCTATATGCTGAACTCCTAGTATCCGGCTTAAAAACCCCTATACTCCTCGCCTATATAATCCCGTATATAACCTCCTTTCAAGGAGTTTAGACCATAGCTCATGTGAAGATATGGTCGTTTCCCTAAACAAGGGGACCCAAAGATAGACCCCAAAATACTATAATCCTGAATATTTGGACCCCTAAAAAGGTACCCCGTAGTTTTGGGAAACCCCCATATGAGTGCCTGGTTCAATCTTCTCGCGCTTCAGGAAGGCAAGGATCTGATCCTTCTTCATCACACCCTGCACATGACTTACTTACTGTTGCTTAAGGGGGAATGGGGGAGTGAGGATATTATAGGTACCATGGGACTATATAGGGATTATTAGAGGGATCCACTCCCCACTTTCCCTTAGACATCAGTAAGATGATCTACGGTTTGGGGTCCATGATTCAGGCTCGAGGCTGCAGACAATCTTTAGACCCTGCAGGCCAACTGGCAGGCAGAAAAGACCCCTAAACCCTAAACGTAGCATCACAGGAAGAAAGGCGCCTCTGTACATTCTCAGCAAGTATAGGGTTTGGAGTTCAAGGTGTCGGCGTACATTTACGCCACAGAATGATCAAGTTCTGCGGCTCAAAGCGTGAGCTGCAGTTAAGGATTTGGGCTTAAACATTTTAGGCAAAGGATCTAGGCTCAGAAGGCGAACAAGAAGGTTTTAATGGGTTGCTTGCAGAGGAATCAAGGCGAAAGGATTGGAGGAAGCTTGTTGCGTGCAGGATGTCACAAACGGGCCTTGAGGCTTTAACCGAACGACCCTAATGCATAATCCTTATATAGAGCATTATAGAGCTATATAGAAATTACATAACCACTCTGTTCTGAGGACGCCCCCCCCCACAAGCTCCAAGGGTCCGTATTACCGGTCCCCTCTAAAACACTGGAGGGCGGGAAGACTGGACCTGAACTACGTGAGTGGGCAAATTTTCAGGACTGGCACGAAAAGGGTAACTTGAAAGCCATACCCAAGGATAATGTATGGTCTGTATGGGGCCAATAGAAGGTACGTAAGGGCTATGACTATATACTTCGGGGAAACGAGTTGAACTTGTGGCAAGGCATGGTAACCCGCATGCTGCTGACATGCATGTGGATTTTGCATGTCAGCTAGCGTCGTGCTGATCATAAACCTTACCCTCTAAACCCTAAACCCTAAAAGCCCTATAGGCATTAACCCCGAACCGAAAACTCTACGCCCTAAACCCTAAACCCTAAATTCTAAACCCTAAACCCTGTATCCTAAACCCTAAATCCTAAATCTTGTTGAAATACTACTAAAAAGATAATGTTTAAACTATATTGGGCCTAGGTATACATGAAAATGTAAAATGTCATTCAACAAGACCCCAGCTACTGACATATCAGATCGTGAACAAAAGGGTTTCCTGCTGGTGGTGATTTGTTGAAAGTGCCCCTGCAGCAACCCTAAACCCAAAGCTCTTAACCCTCAGCCGCCCAATCTTTAGCCTAAACCCTAAACCCAAACCCTAGCAAACCAGTTGTTTTTCTCCGCGCAGCTACGGCGCGGTTGTCCTCTCAGGTGCAGTGTCGCCCTCAGGAGACGCCTTTGGGAACAGGATGATGCAGGGTTTAGGGCTTTGGGGCTGTGTGGCCTTTTCGGTTTTGGGCATAGCGAAGCCAAGGATTGCTTTTGAAGCTCAGTGTTCATAGCAGGTTGGTACCCTGCTCAATTGCTGGTGTTGTCCAACTTATGGCCGCGAATAGCTTAGCCATGTATATAGCCGGTTTACCAAATGCTGTTGGACTGTGTTTAAGGCCTCCTGGGCGAGAACCTAAAATGGACGCTCTGATGCATACTGTCGTGTTCTGTTGGCTTCCTATTTTGCACCAATAAAATAGTCAACAACTAATGACATGACTAGGGCTATGTACTATATAAGTGCACATGTCGATGCATAGTTCTTCTCTTGTGACAGGACCAACTGAAGGTGAACTTTACTCCAATACACAGCAACGATGATGATGATGATGATGATGACAAATGGCGATGACGATGACGATATGATGATGATGAGGAGCATGATATATGATGATGAAGAAGAGGAAAAGGAGGAGGAAGACGACGAAAAGGAACAGGAGGGCGAGGCATTTCCTTGGAGGCCCAGTTGCCCTCATAATGGACTGCTCTTCCTGAACCCGCAAACTCTACTAACTACGCCAACTCAACTAATTATGGGCGTAATTGGGCATTCACAGGAACCATTATACCCCGCCCCTTTTCAATTAATCTACTTCGTAGAAAGGAGATACTAGCCATAAAGTTACGGGTCTAGGTAGGGGTACTATATACTATTATATACGAAAATATACTAGATTTCACTATAATAATCATCCAAGCTGCATGTCTCAAGACACTCGCGTCTGCATCTTCCCCCACATTAGCGATGCTGCTGATGGACTGCTGCAGCAAACCTCAGAACAGCTTACAGAGGTGGCTTCCTACCCTCGATTTAGGATTTAGGGTTTTAGTGGTTTAGGGGTTTAGGGGTTGGGGGTTTAGGGTTCTAGGTATGCTCTAGGCATGCAAATTATGACGCACCTGTGTGAATTAAAGGATGGCACGGGGCATGACATGATTGTATCTTGGGCGTTTCCTTACCTACACCGCCGACTACACCCTCCCCAAACTCGAGCCCCTGCCTAGACACCCGACTACACCATCCCCAACATCGAGCTGCATAAAAGCTCCATCTGGGCCTGATTCTGGAGCCCATTCTCTGTATAATTACTAATTGCTATTGGGCCTCAGTACCCACTATTAGGGTCCATATATGCCCATTGAGGGTCATCGGAAGGTCTTGCAACACAGAAGACAAGGTGCTCCCTTGAACGCAAGGCTTTTGTGCTCGCGCACAACAATTGGGTGTCAAGCCTGAAAACTATCCAGCCAAACCCTGAACCTGAACCCTGAAACCCTAAATCCTGAAACACTGAACCCTAAACCCTAAACCTAAGGTGGGCCTTATAAGGGGAACTCATAATGATCGAGGACATATCAGCACCCCCTGTTTCAGCCTGAATATTCAACCCTGAACCCTCACCCTAAACCCCAAGCCCCAAAGCCTAAACCCTAAAACCAAGTCGTCGGAATTCAAATTACTATAGGGGCCTAACCATATTCCCAATATTACTCTATGGTCCCAAATTCTATCTATGGCATGGGTACGCGAAGCCAACCTAAACATGATCTTGGCGCTGTAGGGTTTAGGGTTGTAATTATATTAGGCTCCCTACATTACACAATCCATTTATACGACCCCAATATAAGCCCAGTTTCCCATCTTGTGTTGCATTGGACTCTCCATTCTTCCGCCCCTAAACAACCTTTTCCACTAAACCCTAAAAACCCTAAACCACTATAAACCCTAAACCACTAAATCCTATAAACCCTAGACCACTAAACCCACAATTCGATAAGGCCCTCGTGTTACCCAGGTCTCACGCGTAACATCGAATCTGTAGCAGCATCAACGGCTTCTTAGCCACCTAGATAGGCCTCAACCTACACCTCCGATGCAGGTTTAGGGTTTAGTGTTGAGAGAATGGCCCAAAACCCCCTGAAAACAGCCTTACTTGCGCAATTTTACGTGGTCCGGGCATTCGAAGAGACAGAAGTCTGTGTGGGACCTCTTTTGCCTTCAGAGTTGTTTATCTGCGTTTGCTGGGCTAACACTTCACGAATTATTGCTTCTGCTGGGCGCACGGCTGGAAACTTCACTCTACATTCCTGAGCCTCAGTTGGCATCCCCAAAGCCTTACCAACCCCCCAAAACACAACACGGCCAAGAGCCCTAACAAATAAATCTCAGCCCTGAATGCAAACCTTAGATATATATATATATGTTGAACCCGAACTTCCAAACCTGAAAACCTTAACCACAAACCCACCACAAGACCACCTAAGCCCTAAACCCTGCACCGAAAACAGCCCAAGGAGCTCCGCTCCTCCGCCGTGGCGGCGCGGCTTTCACTGCGCAGTTCGCGAAGCCCCGAGCTGTGGCGCCTGGCGTCTTAGGATGTGCTGGGCTTAGGGTTTAGGGTTTAGGGTTTAAGGTTTAGGGTTTTGGGAGAATGGAGAAGAAAATGGAAGCTAATATATCATATTAGAGTTTATATTGGAGTAGGGGAAGCTACTATATCATATTAGGGTGTATATTGGGGTTATATAGGGCTAGGGTGCGTCAGTTGAGTTTAGGGTTCAGGGTATAGGGTTTTAGGGTGCGTCAGTTGGGTCTAGGGTTTCGGCTACAGGGTTTGGGATGTGATTCTTGGATTTGGGGCGTCGGATATATACGGGTTTACGGCTTCGGCTATAGGATTTCAGGATGTGCTGATTGGATTTAGGGTTCAAGGCATGGAGTTTTAGCATGTGCAACTTGAATACAGGGTTGCGGATACGTGGTTCTACGATGTGTTAGTTGGGCTTGGCGTTTTGAGGTAAAGCTTTTGAGGATGCTTTAGTTGGGTTTTGCGTCTAGGGTATGGGGTTTTAGGAAGAGCCAGTTGGAGTTAGCCTATATCGTTTTGGGATGTTTTAGCGGGCATCCAGGGCTAGGATTTTATGATGTGTCTGTGTTAGTTGCTCTAGGATCAGGATGAAGGGTTTAGGGCGAGGGTCTTGGGGCTTACGTTTGAAGGGTTTTGGGCTCCTTTGCATATGAGGAGCATTGTTTGCTGCTGATCGCGTAGTCGGTGTAATGATGAGCCGTCTAGTATGGATAAGTAGATGTTTCAGCGAATTGATTTTTGAGGATGTGGAATTCTTACCCTAACTTCAACCATTCCCAACCCCCCATTGTGAATGACGCTTTAAAATACTTGGGGTGGGGGGAGGGGGGCACTTAAACTACGGGGCAGGTGATAAGCAGATTAACTCGATATTCACACTCGAGGGCTGTATCTGAAGGATTCAAATCTCAAAGTTCACGACTTTTGAGGCATCGCCTTAGGGTTCAGGGCTGCGGGTTGGGATATATAGCGATATATGGGGATGACGATGGTCGATAACATGTGGAAGTTTCCCTAAATTACTGTTCCCAAAATGGGGGAAATGTATATAGGGCCCCGTATTATAATAGGAACCCAAATANNGACAGTAATTTAGGACAATCTCCATGTGTCAGCACCGATGAAAGCGGCAGCGTGTTGAGCAAACTGCCGAGTCGAGCACTGCCGATGCATCGGAAAGAACCGGGTTTAGGGTTTAGGGCTTAGGGTTACCTTTTTGATTAGGTCAATCTCCCCATACAGTAACATCCCTTACATATGGAGTTAGTAGGCCCTTAAGATACCTATAATAATCCCTTGTAATCCCTTGTGGTACCCATTTCGGGGTGGGGGATTGGCTCAACCTATTGAGTGCTGTTAGACCTAAAGCAAACAATGGACTGGGTCAGCGTGACGTGGAGAACCAGAGTCCATGCGCTCGCGAAGACTGACGTGCGTAGCGCAAGTCTTTTGCAGTCTGCTTCCGAGTCCAAAGGCAGATTTATCTCGCAGGAGAACGGCTTTGGCTCCAACCTACCTAGACCCTCCAATGTAGTTCCTTTTGGGGTTTGGTATGGTTTTTTGGTTAGGATTCTTATTAGGACTACCAAAAAGGTACTACATTGGAGGGTCTAGGTAAACTCTAAACACCTAAACCCCTCAACCCCTAAACCCGAAAGGGAATGGCTTTGGCTGCGGCCTCATCAGCCACGTCTTAGCCATCTCAAGAGAAGTGATCATCTGAGCCATCATGGTGGCGATTTACTTGGCTGCTGTTAAGGAACTTCAGCTAAGTTACCCTCATAGGGAACCCTAAAAGATAAAACCCTAAACGACCCTAAGCCCTAAACCCGTAGACCCTGGGACCTTGCTGTAGTACTTGATTTTTAGTTCCTTAACAGCAGCCCAGTGTAGGAACCTTAGAATCACAGGAGCTTTGGGGTGTATGATGCTACGCTTAGATAATGGTTTTAAGGTTTAGGGGTTAAGGGTTGGGGTTGGGGGCTTAGGGTTTGGGGTTCAAGGTTTAAGTCTTTAGTGTTTGGGTCTAGGGTCTAGGGGGACATCAGGGCGCAATCTAGGTAACGTTGATCTACTTTAGGGCCCCAGTCTAGGTACTATCTATAGAATCTATAGTTTAAGTCCTAAAGTAGATATCATTTGTTAGAGCGATTGAAACAGACTGCAAAGGCTAGATCTGTGGCCGCAGGCAGAGCTGCAATGGGTTTAGCATTTAGGGTCATTGGTCCTAAGTCCGAAGCAGCCATGACAAAGTGTAGGCAGTGAGCTCTACAATTTGGAGGCCGCGCCAAGAATTTCTTAGACTATGCCGCAGTCTTCACTCATTTTATGAAGTTTGGCCCAGAAAACTTACCAGACGCCTCATAAACACCACCCTGCTCCAGACTATGAATCTCTGAGCCTAAACCCTAAACCCTAAATACTGGTTTCCAGGTCATTTTCCATGTTCTTTTCCATTTGATTCTCCATTATTAGTGTGATAACATTATCCCAATATTACCCTTAGCCACTAAGCTTGATGCAACATAGTTGGCCTGGCCGCACAGCTCAAAGCCCTTACAGTCAAAGTCTTACCACTCAGTGCACTAAACCTCAAAACCCTTTCAAGAAGCCAACCGTCCAAAATAGTAGGCCCCTGAACCCTGAATCCTAAACCCCAAACCCCAAACCCTGAACCCTATAAAACCCGAACTCCCGCCTTGCCGGCCCAGTCACCGCAAAAACCGGTTTGGAAAACCAGCTGCTGCGGCCAAAGAACCTGTGGACTATGGGTAGGGAGGTCGGGACATAGAGCGCCCTGCAAAACAGGGTTTAGGGGTTTAGGGTTTGAGGGGTTTAGGGTTTGAGCGGTTTAGGGTTTGAGGGGTTTAGGGTTGAGGGGGGTTTAGCATGTAGCATTTAGGGTGTAGGGATGTGATGTAGGATTTTGGCTGCTGCGGTCAAAGATCCTGGCAACTGAGGTTCTAGGTACTATCTTTGTGCTGAGACTGTTTGTTTGAGAATTAATCGTAACAGAGGTAGCAGCTGTCAACAGCTAAGGTTTCAGGGTTTGGGGTTTGGTAATGAGGATTTGAATCTTAGAGTTTGTGGTTAAGTTCAAGTAGACCCCTGATGAATAAACCCCCTCCTGGTCAGGGCCTTAATTTTCAGATCCCTATTATAATCCCTATTACGGGGAGGGGGTATTAACGTCTAAAGCGGTAGCCAGAAGCTGCAGCAGCAGCATCCCGAATTTCAAGCCCCAAATCCTACCCAACCTGCTAAACTGGTAGTTTCCCTACATAAGGGGGGCCTAGGTCCTAATATACTATATAATCAATCTTTATTTTAGGGACTGGCAAAAAGGTACCCCTCACCGCCAATTTTGGGAAAGCCCCAACTGCCATCCTAAAGTGCGTTGCTGTTAAGGACCTTAAATTAAGGTACTATACTGGGAAACCCTTTCAATTACTGTATAAATACCCATCATATTAACCCAATTTAAGCTCTTGAACCGCAACCCAGTAAACGCCGAACCGGGCGAAGATGGCCTGCTGGGGGTTTGCGCAGGTGCCCGCGCGACGCTGCGAGGCCGCGAAGGGGTAGTAAGACCTGGGCTTTGGGTGTGTTGCAAAAATGCAGTTGCACATGGGAATATACATATAGATATATGTATGCGTGTATGTAGCTGTATGCATGGTGCGTCTGGATATACAGCATTGTGTGTACACTTTTATAAACATATATACACACGCAGACAATCCTGTTTTACAATACAGTACATAAATCTAGCCAAAAACGTACACACCTACATGTATGCACAGTTGCAAATCTGACGCGTATGAAAGCTTGTACAGAAACAAACATGCACATATGTATAATTGTATGTAATTAGGCACATGTTTTACATATATATATATATACACACATACATACACAGATATGCGTATATACGTGCGCATGTATAAGGTTGATGATGTAGCTTAGAAGGCATGAGCGTTTATGGGGTGAAGGGGTGTGTTAGTTGAGGCCTTGAGGGTGGAGCGTGTGGGCCTAGAGTGTTCAGGTTGTAGACAATAAAATAAGAACCACATCCTAAACCCTACACCGCCCATCCTAAACCCTAAGCCGGAAATCCTAAACTCTAAGCTCCAAATCCTAAACTCTAAATCCTAAACCCCACTCCTCTATGCATGGGTTTAGCCCTGAGGCCGGGGATGTAATCAGAGAAAGGGTGGCAAATTAGGCCTCAGAGTCATGTAGAGTTATATAGAGTTCAAGGACCCTACCCCAATGATGGACCAACAGATGGAAGGTAAAATGAGTACTGGGCTTATATGGGGGCTTCTAAGGCTGATGCTTAAAACCCTGCATGACGGCAGCTTTCTGAATCCCATAATCCTCCAAGGGTATGAGGGGTACTTACGGTCACGCAGAATTCTTAGTATTCAGGAGCATGCGCCACGATGAGGGCCTCTTCCGTCAAGTGGCAGGGTAGGATCCACAATTATAACTTACCCGAAACCCTTAACCCCAAACCCTAAACCCTAAACCCGAAACACTAAACCCTAAAACTTAATTAAAACCCTTCAAACTTTAACCTTAAACCTTAAACCCTAAACCTTAAACCTTAAACCCTAAACAGCTGGGGGGAGGGGACTCATGGGCTTCAAGCTTGGCCCGGAGGCCCCAGTACCTTCCTTTCTTGTTTAGGGTTTAAAGGGTTAGGGGTAGTAAGGGCCGTCTTAACTATGTATATATTTGTACATATATAAATATATAGATACGTATCTATATATGTATATATATATATATATGTCTATCTATAGGGTTTAGGGTCTAGCTAGGGTTTAGGGGTATTAAGGGCCATCTCATATCTATCTATCTACCTATCTATCTATCTACCTATCTATCTATCTATCCATCCATCTATATGTATGTATATATATGTATATATTCTGTTTAGGGTTTAAGCCTTAGGGTTTAGGTCTTAGGGAGGATCACGTTGAGGTTCAT